CGGTTGCGCCGCCTCGGCTGTGCCGGGGGGGGGGGGGTGGATTGTCCCTGGAAGGTCTGGCTCTGCCTGCTGCTCCTCCTGTTTCTTAACGCTACCCACGAGCACTGCTGGGTTAAGCGAGAGGGAGCAAGGCTGGCTGGTTCCAACTGTTCAGCAAAGGGACGAAGAGCTGGGAGCCAAGAAGTGAAAAAACCAGCCGCAGAAGCTGTGGATACCCCTGCGGCCGGCGTTCCTGAGGAGCAGGGGTCTCTCCCGAGCGCAGCCTTGAAATCCTGGTGGAGAATGTTACGCGCTGCACTGAGCCCTGGATGCTTGCGTGGGAGGGTGGTATCTCCAGCACCTGCTAGCAGGCTGAAGTGGTAGCCTGACCTCAGCTCTCCTACCCTACTTCAGCCTTTGTTGTTTGTGGCAGAATACTGGGCAGTGTGTTCCTCCGCTTCCTGTGGGTTCCAGCAACCACTTTGGCAAAGGGAGGCAGACGCCCCCTCCTGAAACTTCTTCTCAATAGTGTTAAGGGTAAACTTCCAAGATGCTGTAAGGCCTTTTAATGCTCCTCTTCTACAAGAAGCCCTTCTATAAGTGCTTCTCTTGGCACTTAGAAAGCAACGAGCAGTTTTTTGAAAGAAGTGTGAGTTGGTGTGCGTACCATGTCTTTCTGTTCAAGCTGGGCTCCAGCTTCCACCAATTTTTTCACCACCTCTAGATGTCCTTCAGAGCATGCCCTGTGCAATGCAGTGCGTTTGTACTGGCAATTAAAACAGTGCAAAGTCAGATATTTAATATGGCAGAAAGAGATATCTTTAAATCTTTTCTCCCCACCTCCCTAGGATAATGGCAAATACATACTTTATGCTGCTTCATTTTCAAGAGCTAATACTTTTGAGACCTGAAATCTGCTAAATTTTAATAGCGTCCTGATAGCTGAGAGCTGCCTACCCAGCATTTTAAAGGGTGTGAGAAATATCTGCAGTATGGCATTCAAATTTAAAATGATGCCTGTTGAGTTCCTCCATCCAACATGCTACACTGCGGTTTGCAAATGCAGTTTATGCATTATGGAGTAGGAGGGCAGGCAGCATCACTTTTTTTGTCATGCTGCAGACAAATTTCTTGTCTCTTCATCTGTAGCGTTGGAAGACCACATGTTACAGAAAATCAGGGTCTCTTGGTCACCAACAGCTTGCTTTTAAATATAAAGATTCTTTGGAGGTAATATTACTTTGAATGGTCCCAGCAGCCCCTTTATCACTAGAAGACTTGATATACCAAACTCCCAGCATTTACTTACTTTCCCTCCACCCTTTTTTTCTCTTCAAAAATGTGGAAGCTACAAAACCCAGTGGTAAAAGTTATTTTTGCTCTGTAATAACGTCCCCTCTGTAGTAGGCTTTGCAGTAAGAAGGAAGATTGTACCTCATCACAGACATTTGGATCCCCTTTGTCTGACAGGTATTTTTCGATTACTGGCAACTTATTCTCCAATGCAGCTCTAAAGAATGTGGGTATATCCACTGGTCCTGTCTGATGGAAAGAAATATACACAGCGTAAATGTGTGTGGCACAAAACCCCATCAATGCTTCCCCAGAAGAAGGTACTTTGAAATAACTTACAATAACTTCTGGTTCAGGTTCCTTTAAAATGGGTGCTTTCACTTTCTTGCATTTTTTCTTCTTCTTCAGCTGAATAATTTTTTCAAGATCCTCCAAGTTTTCAAGCTTTGACCTCTCCTCTAATTTCTTCTTCTTCAGCTGAAACAAATCAGGGAAGCCCACAAGTTGAGCTGAGTGTGATCACCACTCCCTTTCAGAGTGGCAGGACAGTGTATCACAATAATATATGTGATATTATTGAGCTGAATTCAGTTAATACTGGATGAACTTTGAAATAAGTTGTCTTTTTTTTACAGTTCAGGCTAATTGACCATTAGAGTAAGTTACTAAGTGTGTGACAAATTTGACATCATCTACAGTTTTTCATACACCATCGGACCTCTTCCTAGATGCTGCTTCAGCCATATGTTGTGGGATATGTAGTATGAATTTTTGGTCTGTGTTAGAGCAGGAGTCAGAGCCACACTGCAATCCCTTCCGGCCCAACAACTTAAGAAATCTCACTTGCAGCTTATGAGACCTGAGAAGCCCTTGCAGTCTTAGCTGACTTCCACCAAGTTGGGTTTTTTTCAACCACTTTTATGATTCAGCCCCTCATTTGTTGTAACTTAATCCTCTTTGATGAACAATATACCCTTAAGTGAAGAGCAAAGTTTACACTGATCTTAGCATTTCAGTCAGCAAGTGTTAGATTTTGGTAAGCTACAAAGAATGTCCCCAGTATCCTTGGAGGGGCAGTTCAATAAATGTTTAAGACTTCCTCAAGCCTGCTTGTAAAAAGCATCCCTGCAAGAAGTCAGTATAAGGCACCGCTAACATCAAGGGCAAACGTGTGGCCTGAACTGAGATCCCAGGTGCCTTGAGGTGTCCTTGGCTTCAGAAGGGGGAGTCACAAACCAGGGGTAGCTCAGGGTGAATACAGATGACAGACTCTGTCCCATGGTATCACCACGAGTAAATGAATTGGTGAGACCCTATCATACGGTATACTTTTTTTTTTCAAATGAATTCTTACTCAAGTTATTTCCACCTCTTCTTTTTATTGTTCTCTGCATTTAGGGTTTGATCTGTAGATCATTGACAATGGAAAATAATTATGTTGGCTGAGTGCACTTTGGATCAATCTTAGGACCCTGTTTTGGAGGAACTCAAAAAGTAATGATCTCTCTGTTGAAGGTAAATGTCAATAGTGTTTATTTTAATATTGCTGAGGCTCATTTCCCACCCTTCTTTTTTCAAAAAAAAAGGTCTTATGCCCCCTGCTAGTTAAACTTTTTCATCCCCAAAATCACTTCAAATTTATAAATTTATAGGCCAGTTGTTTGTTTATTCACCAAAGAATTTAAGATGTTGCAACTACTGTATTTTGGGGGGGGGGGGGGGGAAGCATCAGTTCTTAGGGATATAGGGAGAAATGTCATGCTCCAGGAATACAGAATGGTACTTTTCTGTAGACCAGTATCATTTTCATTTGCAATTGTTTTTTCCTAAATGTGCTAGTAAGCATAATACAGTGTTTTCATAAAAAGAACATTTTCATGGTAGATAAGGCTTCTGGCTTCAGAAATGCACTCTTACATCTTTCTTGGGTTAGTTGTTTTTGGTGGCAGTCATTAGGTGTGCCAGCTGAAGGTGTCGTACAGGCTATGACTGCTCCCCCCCGCCGTGCTGACAGCAGGTGACGCTGGGCAGGAGGGAGCCCCCAGGGTTTCAGTCAGGCATTATAGGGGGAGCTTTGGGTTCTGCTGCACAGCGCTACTGCTTGCATCCATAGGCTACAGGAGTCAGCAGATGTCTATGGCCTTTAGACCAACCTCCTTTACTGGTGATCTCCCAAGGGTTTATCTAGCTCACCATGTGTATATTTCTAACTTAGAGAGAGGCAAAACTTCAAGGGCTGCAGCAGAAAGTGCACACAGGGTGGCAAAAAGCCAAGTACAAACCCCAAGAGCCTACCTCTGCTTCTAGTTTTTTCTCCTTCTCATACGCCAGATCACCTCGGGTCAGTGAGTGTTCAGAGACTGTCTTCAGGTCCTCCTGCTTCTCTAATCTTACAGCAGCTTCATACTCTCCATTTTTGAAGTCCTCAGGGAGGAAGCTGCCCGTCTCTTTATCGTCCGCCTTCTTCCCAGTCACCTGTAAAAGCAAACGTGATATAATACAAGCAGCAGTTTCATGGCTGCAGTAGCCACCCCCTGGGAACATGGATTACCTAGAGGCTAACTGCATGTCATTCCTGTCCTGCTCGAGGGTGTCTGACAGACACAGAGCAGACCTGGATTAGCTGTGTATGCGAATAGCGAGAGCAATCGCGCTTGCAGGCAGATCTCCCGCACCCATGCAGCAACCCCCCCTTGGCATCTTTGCGGCTTGGATCAGGATCCATGAGGCCAACTCACAGTCTAACCCCCTGCTTGGCTGGGGCTGAGGTGCTGCTGTACTGACAAAAGCTGGTGAGCTGGGAAGAGCATCTTTTTTGTTCAGGGTTCTCTTGTTTGTTCACTCAGCAGCATGTGCCAGACTCACCAGAAGGCTGCAAGAGGCTGTGGTGGAAAGAGCCACCTCGACCAGCCACCAGCACCCTGCGAGCGTTGAGCAGGGGAACTGAGCAGGCAGAGTGGGAGGAGAGGCTTTCTCCCTTGGGACCTTACAGTTTTATTGAAACACATCCAATGCGGTTAAATCGGGTTACTGAGTAATTTCAAGGCTGGTTTTACCCATTGCTGTCAGTCCCAAAGTCCCCATTTATAGCACTCAGCAAAATAGCAGCAGGTAGTTCCTGTGCAGAAGCTATGAGATGCTGTGCAGCAGCACAGCTTCCAATAGCTTTTGGAAATATTTCCAATGCTCGATTAAGAATGTACAAAGAGATAACTTTAAACTTAGAAGAGGCTGCTGTGTATTTTGAGAGTGGTTCAGTAAATTCATGTGTTCTGGACTGGCCTTCCATTCAATCACCTTGTAAAACTGTGTTTGTTATAGAGTTTAACACTAGAGAAACTGTCAGGGCCTTGCCAAAGAATTTAAGACAGCATTAACTAGTTAGGCTGCATGGCAGTTGCATCTTAACATAGCCATCTGGGAGAAAAAGCAGTTTCTGCATGATGTTCCAGTGTTTTACTGAATCATTCCTGTTTTCCCAGTTTATTGATCAAATCAGGCATTCCTAGTCTGAACCCTGCAGTGGAATGTCCCATTACTTGTGGTCTGGTTCAGACATTATTCTTCAAAGGCTTGTTACACCATGAACAGCAGTGGGTGTAGGAACTGATAGTTTATTATTAGAAAATAACACTATTACTCAACTGTTAGTTTAATATTAGAAAATACTTTGGTTTTCCTTCATCGATGCCTCTTCCCAGTCCCTTACTGAATTGAAATTTACTCAGTGTGATCATAAACACACTTAATAGCTTCTCACAAAACAAAAATGAAAATCAAGGTCAAATGAAAATACTAAATAAATAGCTAAATTTTTGTCAGGTTCTTTTTCCTGGTGAACTATGTTCTGATGCAAAATCCAAGCAGCTATGTAATTGTATCAGTGGTAAGCCCCCTTCCCAAGGAAGAGTTAAAGTGAGAATATAGTAGGGTAACCTATGGTACATACAGGTTTTGCACCTAGAGCACGGCAGTGCTGGTAACCTGCCAGATCACCTCAATGATCCACAAAGGTTGTCTGTCTCTGCCTGGAATAATGACAGCCTAGAAAGAAAAGTAGTTATGAATAAATGAAAGAAGGTTGTACCTACCAGCTCTTCTACTTTCATCATCATCATATTTGCCAGCGTTTGAAGGCTGTACTCCTGGATGGCTGAAACTCCCAAGTGCTCAAGCCAGCTCTGCAGGGACCACCACGCTCGCTTTGCTTATATATCTTTGGGAGAACTGTGCTTGAATGAGATAATCTTCCAACCTGGGAATCCAAGTATGCCCCTTGGGCTTGCCAGCTGAGAGGTAGGCTCGCGCTCATTCCAGACATGTTAACGAGCCAGATCTGGTGTCCAGGCAGGGAGGGGGGGCGTCAGTTGGGCGAGGAAGGGTGAGCCTCACAGTCTAACCACACCGAGTATGTGAATCGGAATGAAATGTGAGCTCATCATTCCTTTGGCAATGACTGCACGGCTCAGCAATGCGAGTCATTCTGTGTTCCCAGTGCCCACTAGGACAGCTGTCTGTTGATATAGCATTATAACTTCATCTTCTTTTTTTTAAATTTTTTTAAAATTTTTTCTAAACTGACAGTCAGATGACTGTAAGGCACTGGAAAGGGTAAGTGGCTTATGTACAATACTTGTAGTAATATCTTCCTGATAAATGGATTATGACCCCTTAAGTCTCAGAAAGCCATTCTTTTCATTGCTATTTATTCTTGGATGATAAACAGTTTTAGGGGAAAGGATTTTTCTCATCATGATGGCAGTCTTCTATATTTGTTGGAAGGAATTCTCTGAACGGATTACTAAACCAGAATGATGTCTCTGGTGCTAAAAGGGCCTATGACATGATAAGTTACAATCAGTGTAAGATCTCAAAACAGCAAGCTTTGCATTTTTCTGGGACTTTGTCAGTATCGTAAGCAGAATAATAAATGATGTCCTATTACGCCAAAGGAAAGTAAAACTAATACTGTTTTCTCAGGCAATCTTTTCCTTTCGCATATGAGAGGACAGGGGCACAGAAGTGATTTGTTCATTTTTTGGAGATAAGATGGGATACAGACAAATACATTCCGATGATGTGTGTATTTTGGGGAAAAGGAGTTACTGAGTCCTTTGGAAAAGCTTTTCTTGTGCCATGAATCAGAGTAGCCTGGAAGCAGGAGAATGAACACCAGCAGAAGGCAATTTTATAAAAGGAAGATGCACTAATCTTTGCATTTAAAGGGTGTGGATAAATGCCAAGAAAAATCAGTTCTGTCATTCTGCAATGCTTGGAGCTCCTGTCTGGTGAGGTATAAGCCTCGCTGTAGGTATCTGGGTCACCTGGCTGAAATGAATACAACTGCTCAGGTGCTGCAAGTACAACATGTCCATAAGTGCTTCACCAAATCAATACCCAACTATCTTATGTGTTGTTTATATCATTAGCATCATTAGCATGCTGTGTTCCTGACACTGACCTTTCAAGGTGTCTCTGCTCTGAACTATCTCCCAGTAATCTGAGTACATCCAGACTTGTCTTCTAGTGCCCATCATACCTATGCCCTCCCTTTCCCTGAAATGAAGCTGGACATCAGGTGGTTCCTTTACTACTCAGAATATATATGACATTAGAGGATGAGCCCCAGAACTAAAATAGAGTATGCGGCAGCAACAGAACCTTTCAGAACATTTTTTTTCAAACCTAAGTACAGCCAGGATATCATTCCCCCAGAGTGGTATGTCCTGAATCACACTGCTGGGCTTTTTTTCACAGCGGTTTTGTACTCCTGCTATATGGCTCTATGACAGGAGGCAGCTCGGTTTCGCTTTTTCTTGTTTACAAATGTGCTGTAACAGCTTATCTGGGTCTGTTTTGTTCTGTGACTCTTATTTGAGAGATTGTCTTGAAATCCACAGCCCTAACAGGACAGCTGCAAAGACTCCTTCTGGTTTAGTGGAAACAGATCACAGCGGACACCTGATGTGGGAAGAGAAATGTAGGGGTTTGCTTTAAGAACAAAAACTGTTTAAGAAGCTGTGAACTACCTCTGGCCCCATTGAATCTGAAGCTTACTTTTCCTTTTTTTTTCTTTCCTTTTTTTTTTTTTTAAACAACCTTTACTTTTCTTTCTTTTTTTTTTTAAACAGCCTGATATATAGAACTGACTCGGCAAAACCTAAACTGGAAGGTTTAAGTGGATAGATCTTCCTCTGCAAATGGTACGTAAATCCAGAACCAGAGTAGCTTTACAGTAAACCTCAGTGCTCTGTGGGGAAACACAAACCCACTTCTCACATCATGAGTGCTACCAAAAAAACCCAGCTTATTTAGAGATAATTCAGTAATTATCTTTAAAACATCCCACCCCGATGACTAAAAGAATAATAAAGAATAGAAAAGTGTCTTCCTTGATTATCCTGAGTTTCTGTGTGAAAAGGGTGGCACAGAGATACCCATTTTAACCAAAAGCTGGAATCTAAATTAACCTAATGGTAAATGCTTTTAAGCTAAATGCCATGTAAACCAAGGTAACCCTGTTGAAATAGTGGAAATGCACTGATTCATATCAGCTAAGACTCTCTGCTAGATGTTTATTGCTAGTTCTTAATATTGGAGGGGGAAGTAGTATAATGAGCTTGCAACCCTGTGCTGGACTGTAACCACTTAATCACCTTTCAACAAGTGATTTCTCGTTAAGGTGGTAATAGCAGATGGCCAGTGGGATATGAGTAACGGGAATCTGAAAAACTCTCGCCACTCCGCTAAAGGATAAGGGCAAAGCAATGATCTGCAAGGTGTAAGGCAATTGGATATTGTCACAAAAAACTTCACAGAGAAGAACACAAAAGGGCAGTAGGCTCAGCGTGACAGAGAGAAAACTCTATGGCGTGCTCTGTTCCCTGCTATCAAATGAGTTGTTGTCTGAATAGTATAAAGAATTTTTGTAATTAGTTTTTAAAGAGGTTAATGGTAGAGTGAAAGCATTATGTGTGATACAGATGATATTGCCACCTCCTGTCAAGTGTATTACCATCATGTTTTCAATGCCGTCACTGCTGTACTCAGCTATCTTACATTTCCCAGCACTCTGCCCTTGGCTCTGTCCTTGCATCCGAAGATGTTGCCCTTTGGCATGCCATTGTGCCTGGCTGTCTCTTTCCGTCTCCTGCTGCTAAATAAGTAAAGGTATGAAAAAATCAGTTGCTGGGGAGTGGTTATGCACCTATCCATGCACGTGGCTATGTTCCATGTGTGTGCAGTCAGGGATAAATTCATACCCAAGGTACTGTAAGAAGCAGTAACCCATAGCTTACTGGATTAGTGATCTGTTGGTGGGTAATGGCTTGTTTATTTCTCAGTATGTGTGAGCATCCAGCATGCCTTCTGTGTAGCTACGTACAACAGAGCAGTAAATAACAGTATATTGCAAGAACTGTATTTTCTTCCTCCTTTTTTTAAGCTGTTTTTCCATAAAAGGCAGGAAAAGCTTTTATTTGTCTAATATACTTTTTGATATTTATTGTCAAAAAGCAGTTTTGGTATGAGTTAACTATAATATACAAATGATACCACTCATGCTCTAACTTTTTCAACATGGTGATGTACGTCCATCTACTTTTTCTAAAGTGATTAGAGAATTGCTAAATCATCTATTTAAAATAACTTGGAGGCTTCTTATCAATGTATATTTTTGTGTATAAGACTGCTAAAGAAAAACACGTCTCCTTAGGAAAGAACAAAAAAAACCAACAAACAAAATTATTTCACTTAGGAATATAAAGTTAGTTTTAAGTACAAAATTAGAATATGAGAAATTATTACATTAAAGGATGAGGCTATCATTCCATTTCTTCAGATCAGTTGTTATTGAAGAAACAAAGGAGTCATAGTCCAGGAGATTGCTGGTCTGGCCAGCACAGTCCTCTGGTGTCAAAGCCCAAACCCGCAATGAGTCAATAGGTGCATCACTTACTGTAGGGCTTAAAAAAAAACCCTCCTCAAATGACGTTAGGGTTGGGGATTTCACATAATAGAAAAAAGAAAAAAAAAATATCCAAACTGTGATTTCTATTTAAAAACAACGGATTTTAATTTATCTTTAGCATGATGGCATTTGTACAACACGTGAATCTGGCTAATTCACATTAATGGGTCTCAGTTAACAAACAAGTGCAGCAAAACACACCAGAAGGGTTGTTATCTGTGGTCAGCTGGGTTTATCTACTGGCTACTTGGCCTTCCTAGTCAGCAATATAGGTCAAGGTCCTGCTGCTCCAGCACAGCTGTGCCGATGCTCTGCTCATGTAACCTCTGACTACATTTTTGTGTGGTCAAGGAAGTACAATATTCCCTCAGCTGCTGCAAAATGGCTTTTCTCTGTCAATGTGGAATTGTCTGAAAGGTTTCTGCAATTCATAAATACTCCAGAAGAACTCCAAGTCAGTCAGAAAAGGAAAAGTGCTTTAAGTAGAGAACTGCAGAAGAAGTTATTATCCTTACAGTGAGGGCATGCCTGCAAATTTGGTCACTTGAGTCATGATCCAACAGGTACCTACGCTGGCCAACTCTCTGCAGTAAAGCATAGCCAGTGCTTTTGACTGGCAGCAAGGGACAATTCAGCATCACTCCAGAGAAGCTGTGACATTTTTGAACTCCATTTTTATTTTTAATTTCACATAGTCTAACTTAAAGCCTCTAGTTATTGAATCTTGCTATACTTTTGCCTGAAAACTTTGAAGTGCTCCCTCTCACCCCAGCAGTGCAATGCCTTTTTGTGGTGTAAGGGTAAGGGGATGCTATAGTTTTGGGTGATACAAACAGCCCTCTGAAATGCTGCGTAGCATGCACAGGACTGTTCATTGTTTATGCAGAAAAAATCCAGGTCCTAGCTGTCCTTCTCTCCACTTACATAGCAAAAGCAGCGGCTCAGGAGACGCAGGAGGGCTGTGTGGGGCGGCAGTGCCAGACTTCATGGGCTGTTCATAAGGGAGTGATGGTCACTTGCGACTGGCTGCTTCAATTTTGGGAATTCCACTCTGCAAAGGTGGCAAGTTTTGTGTGGGGCTGCTTACCAGCAGTGGACAAATAACATGCAAATGTTGCTTTTCCCTGTAGTGTTACATTAGTTACGCTAATGTGGAATTAGTTATCTAACAGGATTCCCAAATCGCTTTCCAGGCAGAAGCGACAAA